TTGTTATAAAAATTGTTTTGTTAAGCGATGGAGGGGGGGGTGGGGGGGGGGTCTCTCTCTAACAGAACACCAGATAGCAGTAAAACCAGAAAATCTGACAGGAGTTCTAACCCCTCACTACTCTATACACAACTAAAAAAGAAATCTTGGCTTTATAGATTGCTAAGTGGACATCAGCAGCAGTTTTACTGGCAGGTCCCATTCTTGCATACAGAGTGACTAATATTCATGCATATAATGCTTGGTATCACATGCCTTCCGTGTTTTTCCCATTTTAGGTCAAAGAGAATAACAGAACAACAAAGGGATTCAGCAGATAAGACGCCCAAAACAGATTTTGCAACCATAAGAAAGAAAAAAAAAACAATGAGCACTTACTTTGAGTATTCACAGCGGCACAGAGCACCGATAGAAGCACAGCGAACCAAATCATGATGATACCAGGACACAGAAAGTCCGATTTTTCTGCTGGAAGAAAAGAATGTTCAAAAACAATAACTGATCCACAAATAGTGATATCTACAGAAAGAGTGACACTGATCCCTAGCACAGCGCTGCAATGTCATCAGAAACTGAAATAGACATTAGACCGGCTTTTTTTTGTCACAGGCGAACACTTGAAATAATTTTTAGGTCTTGGGAAACCCCTGCTGCAACCAGTCCATCGGATTCAATAGGAAAAATGCCCCTGACATTGGTGATCAGTAAGAAGAATACCCTCCTTATATTGCTTGTCAGTAGGAAAAATGTCCCCTTACATTGTGGGTCAGTAGGTAAAATGCCCCCCTGCCACACACCTCCCCCCTTCCCACACATACACACACACATTGTTGGCCAATGAGAAGAATGCCCTCCTTACTTTGGTGATCAGTAAGAAGAATTTCCTCCTTATATTGGTGGTCAGTAGGGAGACTGTGATCAGTAAGAAGAATGCCCTCTTTATATTGCTAGTCAGTAGGAAAAATGCACTCCTTACATTGGCGGTCAGTAAGAAGAATGTCCTTCTTACATTGGCAGTCAGTAGTCACACACACACACACATACTTTGGTGGCCAATGAGAAGAATGCCCTCCTTACATTGACAGTCAGTAGGAAAAATGTCCCCCCCCTACATTGGTGTTCAGTGAGAAGTATGCCCTCTTTGCAATGTTGGTCAGTGAGAAGTATGCCCTCTATACATTACATCCCTTCTTACAGAATGCCACCCTTACAGACAACTTAAAAGTTAAAGTGACATTAAACCCTCAGATTTTTTTAACATAAAACAATACTGTAATGTGCGCCTTACTGTAATCCATGGTTGTTTCCCTTCTCTTTGCTGCTCGGTATATGTTCGCTCACTTCCCGATCTATTTGAGCCGACATGTGAAAGTTTCATTGTCACAGGTCCGCTCGAACTATGAGGTTGAATGAAAATCACTCACCTCATAGTTCTCCTTTAAAAAGGAGATCAGACAGCTTTGAACATGTTTGAGTGTTTTCATTGTCCTGTCTTTTAAGACAATTTAAGGAAGAACTCCAGGTAATTCTTTTTTACTCTGCAGTGTTAATTAAAGTTAAAGTGACAATAAACCCTCAGATTTTTTAACACAAAACAATACTGTAATGTGCGCCTTACTGTAATCCATGGTTGTTTCCCTTCTCTTTGCTGCTCTTCCTTTTAAATCTGTATCTGTTCTCATGCTCTGCAGAACTTCTGTTTTGCAGCAGACTGCCTTGTCTCAGGAATGGATACACGGTGTCTGTGTATAGATTTGTATAGGCTTGTAACCTGAGCCAGCACTACAGGAAGAGGCCCTGAGCTGAAAAGGGAAGTTCTCCCCAAGCATGAGAAGACATGAGGATTTAAAAGGAAGAGCAGCAAAGAGAAGGGAAACAACCATGGATTACAGTAAGGCGCACATTACAGTATTGTTTTATGTAAAAAAATCTGAGGGTTTAATGTCACGCAGATGGCTCTGCCAAATGGTTTTGGTTTGTTTTTGGTGTTAGAGATTCTTCACCTGTAATTTCAGCTACTGGTTGTCCATATTTGTTGTATTCATATCACACCCAGTGAATTGCTCTGTAAAATTAAATTGACTCTGGTATGAAAAAAGATAGATAGTACTTACGATATATCTGGGGGAGGCTTGCCTAGAAAAGCTTAACCAGCAATGTGGAGCTACCACAAGGGATGATCAGTCAGCTCTCTGTGTGCACGCCAATCCTGGTGCTCGCTCCTTCAGCAAGTAGCACTTCTATCCACAGAGAACACAATGTGGACTGCTCACCGTTTGCATCTATTTATTGCTGTAGACAAAGCCTAGTAAAGTCTGGCCAGCTGCCACTTCCTGTGTCACAACATCCTTTCTTTAGGTGTTCAGATAACAAACTATTCCACAGGCACCTATTTTCAGTGCTGACAGGTGGATCAAACCGCCTGAACCCAGCTTCTCACATACTAGTCCAGAATCTCTCAGTTATTACAATGTAACTTTTTGTTCTTCCTTGATATGTATTATAACATTCTATACCATGAGTTCATTTATCACAAAGAGTAGAGGCCATCCACTTAGCAAGGAGAATATTCACGTTCACATAGTTTAATATATAAGCTGAGGTTCTGTTAAAGGAGAACTGTGAGGTGAAACTGTCACAGGTCGGCTCAGTAGATCGGGAAGTGAGCGGACACATACCGGCTGTCACTCACGCAGCTCGGCGGATCCAGACATAATTGTCGGGATCCGTTTCAGCTGCGGCATCTCAGTATATAGGGAGCTGTAGCTCGCGGTATACTGAGCTTTGGGTGATGGGAGGACTCATGTTTGTGTCCTCCCGTTACACTTAGGAGAACTATAAGGAAAAGCCCTGACCCCATAGTTCTCCTTTAACTTAAAGGATAATTAAAGCCTCCGGTATTTTTGCATATATATAAGGCCAGCAAGCAGTAGATATATTCAAAAAAGTGTTAAAAAAATAAATAAAAACCCGCTTTTAAAAGCGGTTTAAACTTACTTGTGTCTTCCCCGCGCGCTCCCGTCCGAAAATGTGAAAATTCTCGGGCGACCGCAAAGCATCTTGGGGTGGACGCATGCGCAGTTCACATTTTCGGCCAGGAGACGAGGAGAGACACAAGGTAAGTCTATGGACGGCGTGCACCCGCATGCAGACACCGTGGGACAGGAAGTGCCAGCAAGCAGAGAGGAGTCAGCGCTGGATCGGAGACCTGCCGCAGCGCTGGAGGGGGACAGATGAAAAGGACAGGAAAGAAGAAGAAGAAGATTGGATTAAGAGCCATCATTCAAGGTATATCTCGTTATTTCGGGATCCGGATCCGAAATTCAATTCGGTTCGGGTTTCGGATTCAGATGAAATCCAAAATTTTGTTCGTTTCGGATAATTTCACGAATATTCGTTGCGAGAAAACCATATACAAGTATTAAGGCTGAGACTCCCTGACCCGAATGGCATTCGGGATCCGAATTTCCGAATTGCATTTGGGAGCTCCCGAATGCCATTCGGGTCTGGGAGCCTCAGCTTTAGTATTATATGTATATGGCTCCCAGACCCGAATTGCATTCAGGAGCTCCCGAATGCAATTCGGAAATTCGGATCCCGAATGCCATTCGGGTCTGGGAGCCATATACATAAATTACTAAAGGTGAGATCCCAGATCCGAATGGTATTCAGGAGCTCCAGAATGCAATTCGGAAATTCGGATCCCAAATGCCATTCGGGTCTAAGAGATTCAGCTTTAGTATTAATACCTGTATATGGTTTTGTGTGGTATTTGTATAGAATATTCGTACACTCATCCGAAACTAACGCAAAATTCGGATTTCGTCCGAATCCGAAACCCGAACCGAATTGAATTTCGGATCTGAATTCCGAAATAACGAAATATCTGAACCGAACAGACTTTTCCGCAGCTTTCATGTCTAATGGCTATAAGCATTGGAAAAACTCAAATGATTTACAAAACTGGATACTATTATCCATGTAACCAGGAAAACAAAAACAACGATCAATCGGGATATATTTTTTTAATTTTCTTTATTTTGCTTGCAATAAAAACAATATTCGCTGACCCCAGTGCTTGCAAAGATTAGGACATTATTATTATACCGGATTTATATAGCGCCAACAGTTTGCGCAGCGCTTTACAATACAAGGAAGACATTACAATCACAATACAATTCAAGACAAGATGGTAAGGAGGGCCACATTCACTGCGCCATTCCTGACTAAAACCTGAATTCAAGCCTTCCCTTCAGTTTTGCTGAAATTGCTGACTTTAAAGATTTCTTTTATATTATTTTGCCCCAAAACTTTTTTGTACCTTATGAAAACATGAAGCAATCCTCCAACTGTTTGGAGAGCGAGATGTGTGCGTGTCGCTCATGTAGAAGTGAAAACAGTGCTGCGGTGTACAGAGTTGACTGTCCGTGTTTGCGATGGCTTTCATGTATGGCTGTGGTCCAGGGAGCGCACACTTTAGGGTGGCTCCAGGGAGACCCTGCAAGGCAATGGAGCTACCCTATGGGCATTGTGCGGCAATTGATCAAGCAAATGAATGTTGCTTCTACTATTTATTTATTAGTATATGGGTTTAATAAAACTTTAAGGGTTATGTCTTTTTCTCTACCAAAGCTCTAATTATTCAACGCAGGTAAACTATCTTTCATCTGAAATTGAGAGCACTACACATAGATGTTGATCCACCTAAGCTTTAAAGCCGGGCCATCCTTGGATGACCTTGTAGAGGCTGTTTCCAGGGCACTCTGTTTTCCCGACGTTTCGGTGTCCCCTTAGCACGTAATTGCTCCGGATGAAGTTTCTGGCCACCCCACAGGCGATAAGTTTTTTGGCTGCATTCAGAGCTGCAGTGTTAGGCTCACGACCTGCATTGGGTAGAAAAAGAAAATCAGCAGTGATTAAAATCAATGGGCAATATTAGAACCAGAAGCACAAACAAAAGGGAAATTAAAAGACATTTACACTTTTAGCGATCATATAGGCGGACATTGTCAAACACTGTGCTTTGCATTGGAACTCACTGCTGCTCAAATGCATGCATTTGAATGCAACATGCAGGGAAAGGCTTTCTTAGACCTGCTTTGCCTGTAATAGGAATGGATATCAATAGGGACAGCTCCATTCAATAAAATCAAAGTAAGTCAAGGGCAGCCTCAAAGCTGCACCAGTAGAGTAAAGGAGAATGTGTGAACCTTCACTTGATCATTTGATGTGTACTTGGCATTAGACATGTGCGATTCGTTTCGTTCCGAATCGAAATTCGGACAAATTTTCGGAAATTCGGACATCTCGAATTCCGAATTACAGATATAACGAATGCAAACGAATCCGAATTTCCGTTTCTGATATTCGGTAGCGTTATTCCCGAATCCCGAAAAACGAAATAACACAAATCCGAATTTAAAACGAAACTAAACGAATTTTTTGGCAGTGCACATGTCTACTTGGCATGCATGTCATATGCAGGAAATCAATGCCTGTCTACAAAAGCCAACCTGATTTGTCTTTTGTAGGGGTAAACTACAAATGCCATCATGCATCTGCCTCTGGGATTCATGCCTGTGGCTGTCAGAGTCTTGCAATGCCTCATGGGACTGGAGGGCCGAAGTTTGGCATAAGATTCCATTATAACCAAAGGGTATTGACCATCTCCAGTCATGTACCATGGCACATGTACCATCTCCCAGTCAATTTAACAATAAAAGACAATAAGAAGGCATAGCTAAATTTAAATAAAATAGTTTTTAGTGTGCAGCTTAGTACAACTATACTCAAAATTATATATTAAAAAAAGTACAGGCCTAATATAGCATACTTCAGTAAAGAATGTATTCATTTGATGCAGATTAAGACTGTCAACTTGCTTAGGCATCAGTTTCTCTGTAAAAGGATACCGACCCCCACCCCCTTAAACTTACCTTGCTTGTGCTCCCGCACAGGGCCGGTGCAAGGATTTTTGCCTACACAGGCGAAGGTGCATTTTTGCGATGATCCGTAGTACAACTACATGTTATGTACTATGGATCTTTTAACCTATTCATGTTAGCAGGGGATAATTGTAAATCTATTGCTGTAGTGCAGTGGACGTGTGTAATGTACATGTACTATGTACTACATATAGAGTATACACTGCAGACAGTAGATTTACAATTATCCTCTGCTAACATGAATGGGTTAAATGATCCGTAGTACAACTACATGTTATGTACATATTATGTACTATGGATCATTTAATCCATTCATATTAGCAGAGGTTAATTGTACAATTATCACCTGCTAATAATCATTAGTTCTTATTAGGGACCCCCCCTGCCCTCACTTACTGCTCGATGAAGGTGCCTCGCTGGTGAGGTTGTAGTCAGCGGCGCGCTGCCAAGGCACCTCTTATAGTGCGGTCCTAACTCTAAACTATCAGAGCCTCCATCTTGGAGCACATGGGGCAGAAGATCAAATTGGGTGCAGGTTTGTCAGGAGGAAGCCCAACCCGATTAAAGGCACAGAGACGCACAAAGGATCCCGCACATCACAATGGCAGCTGAGACTAGGAATACTGTTATATATCACTTACTGGTGAATTTGCCTATAAAGCTGATACCAATGGCGATGTCGTTATAGCTTTTGGTATGACTTCCTTTAGTTGACCAGCCAGAACCTTCATACACATTTCCGTCTTCTCCAATGAGGAAGCTGTGAGGGAAATATTGAAGAATGACTATGTATCAGAATACTATGGTATGAATGCAAAGCAGCAGGCTCCAGTGATAGCAATCAGTCCCTGCTTCTCGGCCAATAAAGAGTATTACTTCAACTCTGTCACTAGACCAGGAACAGCACCCTGCCATCTCCTCCTACTTTTACTTCACCCATATGTAAAACACTATTTCCTTTCTCACTTGTATCCGATGTCACAAAAGTCTCTGGTTTTCATGTGATAATGCTGTATATTCTTGCATTGGGTGCTGCATGTAGCTTTGGAGTTACAGTAGGCTCCATCAGTGTGGTGGATGATGACGTTTGCTACCGGAGTAGACAACTTCTTGCATGTGGGCGTCTTGCCTCCCCACTGTGACCGGCTTATGATAGTTGGGCAGTCTGTAAATATTGATATAGAAATTAGAGATTAAATTGCAAAATCAAATGCCATTCCTAGGCCTAAAAAAGCTGTCAATGTCTTTACATGTAATACTTGGCACATGTCACCCATGCTTTCCCCTGAGAGTGCAGCAAAGGGGATAAAAGGCCAAATTGCAGAAGACCCAAGACAGTACCAAGCACTTACCCTGAGCATTTACAGCCACATAGAGCACCAATAGAAGGACAGGGAAACAGATCATGATGATACAAGGACACGAAGAGTCAGATTATTCTGCCAGGAGAAAAGGATGTTAACAAATGTGTATTGTAAAACAATGACACTGAAAGCTGACACGGTAAAAGAATATCTTCTAACTGAACCTGAAAGGAATTTTCGACTTCTAGCAGGAAATGCCTTTTTTTTTAGGAAATACATTCCAACAGTAGATGCCCATTATCCTCAGGGCCGGATTTACTCTCTCTGCTGCCCCAAGGCTATGTTCCTCAATGTGCCCCCCTCCCCGCCTTAACATCCCCCTACCCCAATGGAGAATGGCAACTAGATGGCGGTGACGGCAGGATTCGTTTTAATTTTTTTATTGTTTCTTAATTTTTTTAAACTTTTTCATTATTTTAATTTTTTACTTTTTTAAAATTTTTAGTTATCTTATCATCTTTTCCTTTTTTATAATTTTTTTTATCATATTATTTTCTATTTTTTAAATATTTTTTTATTATTATTTTTGACTTTTTAATCACCTTTTTATTTTTGAATTTTTCTTATTATTTCTTGTTATTTTTTACTTATTTTTTATGTATATAATTATTCTTTAAATAAAATTTTTTTTTTTTTTACTTAACTCTATTTCTATCACACAGGAGCTACAGTGTTTCCCCGAAAGTAAGACCTAGCACTATCTTCAGGGATTTCTGTAATATAAGACCTACCCCGAAAATAAGACCTTCTTATAGTTTTATCTTCTGCCCCCATGTGCTCCAAGATGGAGGCTCTGATAGTTTAGAGTTAGGACCGCACTATAAGAGGTGCCTTGGCGCGGCAGTGCGGCTTTCACATTTTCTGCAGAAGACGTGTATCCAAACCTATGTTATTAACCTTAGTGTGAGACAAGTTTTTTTACATGCTGGCTTGTGAGTGTGCCAGGAAAACCTTTTGCTATTTTCTTGTAGCAAATCTGCCCCTGATTATCCTGAAATCACTCATCTTGTTTTGAGCTACCACCAGGGCTAGAGGGGTTCTTTGTGTGTGTTTGTTCCTCTTAGAAAAACAGGAGGAGTTAGGGACAAACAAGATGAAAAACTGTTCTGGAGAAGGACTCTTGAAGCCACATTCAGCAAAATGTAACTCCAGCTAAAAAATTACATTTTGAAAATGGAAGAAGGGCTAACTTATCGAAATTTGAACTTTCTTGGTCAGGTAGACTGGCAGCCTAAAATGCTGATCATTTTTAAAGATCTTGTATATTATTATTATTCTTATACAGGATTTATATAGCGCCTACGGTTTGCGCAGCGCTTTACAATATAAGGAAGACATTACAATTACAATACAATTCAAGACAAGATGGTAAGGAGGGCCCCTTCCCCATGAGGGCTTACAATCTAAAAGGGAGGGGCCAGTGATACATGACGAGGGAGCTGTGTGGGGATAAATTGTTTGAGAATATGATGGTTGAGTGGTTAGTTTGAGGTGGAATAGGCTTCCCTGAAGAGATGAGTCTTTAGGGATCGCCTAAAGGTAGTCAGAGTCAGAGATAGATGGACAGGTTGGGGTAAAGAGTTCCAGAGGATTGGAGAGACTCTAGAGAAGACCAAGAGGCGAGCATGGGAGGAGTTGACGAGGGAGCTGGAAAGCAGGAGGTTTTTGGAAGAGCGGAGGGGACGGTTAGAGTGATACTTTGAGACAAGGTTTGAGATATAGCCGGGGGCGGAGTTGTGGATGGCTTTGTATGTGGTTGTTAATTTTTAAAATTTTATTCTTTGGGCTATTGGAAGCCAGTGGAGGGATTATCAGAGAAGGGTGGAGGATGGAAGCCAGTGGAGGGATTGGCAGAGGGGAGTGGAGGATGGAAGCCAGTGGAGGGATTGGCAGAGAGGGGCGGGGGATGGAAGCCAGTGGAGGGATTGGCAGAGGGGGGTAGAGGATAGAAGCCAGTGGAGGGATTGCCAGAGGGGGGCGGCAGATACTTAACGGTTGGTAAGGTGGATGAGTCTGGCAGCAGCATTCATGATAGACTGAAGGGGGGATAGCCTGCTTAGTGGTAGGCCAACAAGGAGGGAGCTACAGTAGTCGAGACGAGAGATTACAAGGGAGTGAATTAGAAGCTTTGTG